GTCTCCATTTTCTTTTCTTATGGAGGAGTGATGCTCCTCTATAAGCAGCGCTTTAGGTAATTAATGGACATGAAAAGAATATTTTCCCCTTCAAAACCTGGTCTGCTTATCAGCACCTTAACTCTTGGACTATTTCAGGGATCGGGTCTGAAACTAATATAATGGAAGCAAAACCCAGGCAGGGAAGGTATTTCATGCTGGTTGTTTTGGGGAAGTGAGTGCAGTGAAAAGGGCCAGGCTTGGTCCTCAAAGCCATCCGAGGGAGCTTTAGGGCAAAGAGGGAGAGTGGCAGACATTTTGGGCTTGTGTTGCTACAAACTGGGGTGAAGGGGTTTGAAACAACATCCTTAGGACCCAGACCTGGTGATGGTGGCTGTGTTGGGTGCTGCTGGCAGGTAGAGGTTTGAAATCAACTCTGATAATGTAACTGCCTGCATTGTCCTGGGCACTAGTGCTTTGGGCCATGATGGCAGAGCTATGAGAGGTAACACCAGTGCTTGGTGCTGGTGTTACCCCGACTCACAGGACCTCATCTCCCGTGCATGCTGCTGCCACCTACATACCTGGCTGAGTAAGGGTGACACCAGTACAGGATTAGAAAAGACCCTGAGGACTGAAGAAGGTGCTGCCAAGGTGGGCAAGGAGAAAGATGTATGGTGGCATGACACGGTTTTGGATGTACTGCTCTGGTGGAATTTTTTTTGTCAAGGAAGGAGTGTATCCTGCAGTCACGTCCTGCTGGATGCTGACACTCCACCAGGGCCTCCCATGGGAAGCTATTAAACCCATGTATTCTGAATTATTTATTTTCTAGGGGATGATCAAGAGCCTCATCAGTGCTGCAGTCCCAGAGACCGCTTGGCTTCCCCTGAATGTCCCTCCCTGCACCATCAGTGTGGAGTGTTTTTCTGTGGGGAAGAGTGGGGCCACTGCCTGGGCTGATCAAGATCTGAGAGGAGAGAACCTCCTCTCCTGGAGGAGGCACTGAGGGGTTGGAGGTGAGATACGAAGACGTGTTCTGGGTGCTGAGTAGCAGAAATAAGAGGAACTCTTCCTGGACACCCATGGCTGGTGTAGCTCTGCTCTTCTTGCTGATGCTGTTCTGAGTATAGTCAGTGCAGGCTTTCAGCCCTCTGCTGATGCCATTAACCTCTCCTAGATACCTTTTCTGCAGGGCAGAAATTGTCCTAATTATTTTGTGGTTCTGGCAAAATCATTTTTTGTTGCTATTTCACCCACATTTGCATAGTAAGCCATGCTGACCAGTCAGCAACTCTGTGGAAAGCATCCCAGAAATGCTGCCCCTCCAGTTCTTCTAGCCTGGGTGACTGCCCAGTTTATCTCTTTGGATGTGCTGGCCCTACTGAACTCCCCCATGCTCCTCTTCATCTTTCAGCAGTCATAGGAACGGAAAATATCTTGGAGCAAAGGGCTTGTTCAGGAGTTTGGTGCATACTGTTTTACAAGATAAATGGGAACAGAAAGATGGGCCATTATGAATTTCAGAAAAGGAGAAAAGGTTGATAATTCCTTCTCCAAAAAAGCCCTGAACCTCAGTCACTGCTTTGCTCTCTCCTCCTTCTACCTTGTAAAAATTATACCAGTCCAACAAGCTCCTTTACTCCTCACTCTTTATTTCCTGGAAGACAAAGACACACCGAACTGGAAAGGACCTCTTGGGGTTAATGAGTCTAGGCACTCCTGTCTCAGCAAGCATGTTGCTTTTGCACATTCCCTTTCTTAAATTCATGAGATTTCTTTTAAAAGCCAGTTATGGGGTTTTTTAGTGCCAGAACCCCCCAAGGAAGCCACTGGACTAGCCTAGTGACTAGTACTTATCTTCTAATTTGTAGCCTAAAAAAAACCCCCTACCACCCAACATCCAGTTGACATCAAATGTCAGCATTGTCCTGCAGTTTCTTTGGCCTGTCAGAGATAACCCTGATATCTTTCAGACTCCAGGAGCTGTTTCTCTGTGTCCCCGGGTGAACTGGGTGCCTGGGCGCCCCTTGCTCCCTCTGCCTGCCACCCAGCTGGGCTGGCTCCCTGCCTGAGATCCTAATGAGTGTGTCCCTGCCTCTGCCAACTCTGCCCTGACAGGCTTCCCCTTGACTCAGGGCAACCTGGTGTGCAGAGTAACAACAGGTAGGAAGGTGTGGAAATGTTTTTGATGAGGAGATTGGCATAAGAAAGCCTCACAAAAAGGAGTGGTGTTTCCAGGTGACGGAAGTAGGTAGAAGGTGGGAGGCTGCTTTACCTATTAGACAGGTATATGCAGGATGTGCAGAGCTACAACAAGACAAAAATAGGAAAGAAATAGGAAATCAGAGTGGAAATAAAGGCAGATGGACCTAAATCTCAGCCTTGGGGAAGAGAGGCTAGCCTGTCATTTATCAGGAAAGGACGAGAAGCACCACAAGCAGAAGGACGACACAGTCAATTCAATAGGGAAGAAGGATTTTGTCAGTTAAACCAATGTGTTCTTGCACTGACAGATGCACTGCTGTCATACAGCGAGCTGTGTTTGTGTTAGGCGGCAGGTATGAGATGACTGTGCGCCATGCAATGCCGAAGTATAAACTGCTTTCTTTCTTTGTATAAAAGCTCCAAGGATATCCCAAACACAAGACCCTGCATTTCAGATTTCTCTGTTTAGTCTGTGCACTATAATTTAATCTAATATGACAAAATATTTGTAAGCATACATTTATTCTGTCGTGTGTGTTTTACTTCTGATCCGAAGCAGAATTAGCATCTTGCTTGTGATGCTCTTTCTTTCAAAAGAAAGAAAAAAGGCCTCCTCTCCAGCACTGGCTTGATCTTTTGCTAATCTACCGCGATCAAGTTTTATGACCTGGGGTCACACTAATCCCCAGTGGTCATGTAGTTACTATAGTTTCACTGATAGAACAAGGTTTGCACACTGCAAAGTGATGCAGCGTCTGTTTCTGGCCAGGGTAATTCTGGACGTCTGCGCGGGCCCCACTCCGACCTCTCGGCCTCCTTTGTAAATAGATTTGGTGACTCTTTGAACCAAGAAACGCCCCCCTTCCGCTCATTCAGCTCTTTCTTCTTTGCTCAGACACTTCTTGGGGTGGGGTGTTTAGTGTCGTTCTGGACTTAATGTGACTTCGGAGTTTGAAGTTGCATGTTGGGGGGGGGAGGGAAGTTTGCTCAGATTTTGTCTTCTGCTTCATAAAAATTTGTGTTGCTATTGACTTGCAGATAAGTAATCTTCCTAGGACAAAGGTTACAGTAAAACTGCAAAACCATGCAACTAGCAAACTTTATGGATTCAGTGGATGGACTATGGGCTCAGATGTCAATAGTTCAGTACTGTCTTAAAAACTAAGCTTCTGGGTTTTTTTTGTTTTTTTTTTTCTTCTTTCCAGTTAACTTTCATGTACCTCTGTTTCACCATGTGTCAGATAGGAATAATGACAATTTTTACTTTAGAAATCACTAGTGATTCTCAGAAGACAGGTTAATACCATATTAATTAGTTTGGGGCAAGGTGAGATAAAGCCTCAGAGATTCCTATCTGTTGGGCTTATCTTCTAAGTAACAGATATACCATGAGTCTGTTTATTTTATGCTCGTGAAAAGGAAAACCATCAAAAAGTGTGATATTGCTTACATAAATGCTGCCATGGCTGTGCTGGTGACATCCTGTTATTTATTAGAAACCCATACAACTCTTAGAGTTCATTCTAAATTGTGTGGATTTCGTAATCCGTCGCTTTAAATTACATTTAAATTGATTGATTCAAATTCCACTGAGAAAATAAGTATTCTCAATTGGTGTGCAATTTCCTTGTGCACTTCTTACCCATAGGAGGAAGAGCCGAGGGCCTTGGTGTGGAGCAAGGCAGGAGTGAGATGATGCATGACTACTCAATGTGAAGGTCCTGCTCAGTGCTAGGCAAGATTTTTGGCAGGTGCATGTTCCCACCCTCCACCTCTGCCCTGGGACCTGCGGAGCGGGAAGCTGGGCGATGCCTCCTCCTGTTTTGTCTGCTCTGCAATTGGAGGATGTCAGTCTCCAGAAATGTCAGATCATGTCAAGCAGCTTTCAACAGCTCTAAATTCGATAATGGCATTAATTTACTTTAAATGCTTTTCCCCTTTCAGAGTCTCTGCCCTTTGTCAGTGGGATGGACCGGTCTCCTTTTGAGTCTGAAATGTGGAAACCTTTCTGCTCACTTGCCAGACAAGCTCTGCCTTGGATGTAGCAAATGCAGTTTGATATCTCCAGCAGACTGTCTCCTCTCTGTTGTGTATCTTATCCTGTAAACTATTCTCAACCTGGAGGCAAAAAGCTGAAATGTCACAAAGCAGGCAGCTGCTTCTTCCTAAAACACCTGTGAGTCAGTTCCCAGTGGGCATGAAGATGAAGATAACCTGGAAGGCTTGCAGGGGCAGGCTTCATTCATCACCTCACAGTTCCTTGCTAATCTGCTTTAACCCTCACAGATACTTTTTTTCATCAGTCTTACAAAACATTTCAAACTTCTCGTCAGTCAGGAGGACCATGTTGACCACTGGATGTAGAAGGCAGCTGGGGTCCAGGAACATCTGACCTGAATCTTAAACTGGCATGCATTTAAAGTGTTTGTGAGCTTTGATTTCAGTGAATAATGACAGCTATTCTTATTTCCATTATTGTGAAAGCAGCTATTGCCACTGCACGTTAGACACCTGACAGTCCACAAACTGGTGTTGTTGGATGTCGTCACCTTGGTGTTGCAGATTTACCTTTCAGTAATAATTACACAACACTAACCATGATACAGAGATAATTGCTGAATTATTTTTAATATCTTGGGAAAAGCTTCATAATTGTTTTAGGTACAACAGAAGTATGCTGTTTGTCTAAAAGAAAAAAGGATCTCATACATAGAAATTTTTTTTTTTTTAAATACAGCATCTTCTGTACTCCAGGTAAATGAAGGTGACGTAATGGTTGATGGGGAAGAAACAATTGCAAGCTGTAATGTTCAACATGAGCTCATGTGTAGGTTTAGAGGCAAAATCCTGTTTGCTGAGGATTAATATAATAATGGTGCTCTTTTGTTTTAGTGTCTTGTAGCTGAGCTGTCTCTGGAGAGAGTGAAAATAATTTAGGCAAAAGAATGAAAAAGGCTGGATGGATTCCTTGGCCATGAAGCTGGGCAAGGCTGATATAGGATGCTGCTGCCTATTGTATCTTCAGGCTGCAGCAACAGGCTGAGGGTGAAGTAAGCTGCAGTTTGGTTCACTTCATAGGCCTTGAGGGGTTCTGGTTTATAGCTGTGTTGTACCCGCAGAAAATTCTCTCACATTGCTCATATTTCTCATATTTATTTTCCCTATGTACTCATATTGTCAAACCCACCCATATAATTAAATAGCAGAAGAAAAACCCAGTTATTTTTTTTTCTATTTTTTTTGTATATTTGAGGTTGTAGGGGTACACTCTTGCTCAGGTTTGCCACAAACACAAAGGCTAATGATGTATTCGTTTGGAAACAGTCCATCCACACCCACCCCCCAAATGAAAGCTGAGTAACTCACCTCATCATCTGGATGAAAGATTTTAAGAAACTCCTAGAATAACATGAGAATTACTAAAACTGGGTAATCAAAATGAGATTTGTACTTAAATTCATGACAAAACACCTGTTGTTTGTTGTGAAGGCCCTAACAAGCAATAACGCCAATGGCTTATAAAGCCTGCAGGATGGTTTAAAAATGTTCTTACATGAAGTCAGGTAGAAGCAGGAATGTTTTTCAGAGATTTTTTTTTTTTTTTAATCTTGTATTGCATTACTACTCTCTGAATAGCTACGTGCACAAAAACTGAACTAAAAGCCTTGTGGTTTGTTCAAATGTTTTCACTTAACTCTTTGTTAAACAGTTATTTGGTATTTAGTTCCTCTCATAATTTGGTATCCTTTGCTAATGCACTAAGGAGGACATGTATTGAGAGCAAGTGCACTGTCAGCCTATTAATTGTTTATTTCTAAAGAGGCCTAATTTTTTCTTGATTTTTATTTCCTAAGTAAGAATTACTGTGCTAAACAGAGTAATTGTGAATAAAACAAAACACTCTCAAGAACAAGTAAAATGAGAAAATGTGGACATTGTTCCTCTTTATCTCTTCTGCTTTAGTTATAAACCCAAAGAGACATTTAAGTTTTAGCTTTTCTTAATAGTTTGTGTGTTTGGGGAATGTGTATAGTAAATCAGTTACTTGTATGAATAAGTTAAATGACAGTGGATTTGAGTGCTGCATTCCCTAAAGATTTTCTGTTTTAAAGTTCAATTTCACTTCCTTAAACACGAGTGTCTTTGGAATGTATTGCGATATGGCCTCAAATATTTTATGAAATAAACCACAGATTTAGCTCCTAACATATATTAATGTGCCATTCCATAACTAAATGTACGCATTTGCCACAGATAGAATTGCATTAAAGATTAACATCATCAATAATTTGTGCTAATGTAAATTGCAGAGGTTTACTATTTATTTAGATCTACTTAGTTGCATTATTATTTAAGAAGGGAACATAATAGGATTATGCTAAATCTAAGACATACCTGTCCACACAGGAAGAAAAGGCATGTTTGGGTTTTTTTAAGATTGGAGATTTATCAACAAAATAGTAAGTATTGCTGCCTGCTACTGAAAGATCTGATTTTTCCATCCATGAACTTAAAGACTTAGCAGATGTCTTGACTAAAAAAAGATTTTTTTAAACACCAGAAATGATTGTTGAGGCTAATGTAGTCTTTTCCTATATATGGAAACTTGTACCCCTTTTGTAGCTCCTCTAACAAAGACCTTCAGGTAGTTTGTGATTTCCTAGATCAGCACAAGTTATGGCAGAGTAGTTTGCCCAGTTGATAAAACTATGGTCCTACTCTAATTGGCAATGGTGATTTTTTCCTTGGAAAATACTCTTATTTTTCAAGGGTGAGGACTGCAAAAAGGAAGAAACAGAGACATGTTTAAACTGTCTCATGTATACTAAATATAGGCTTGCAGAGAATAGTGAATGTGATGATAAATATTCCCTTTTCCCCTCCTTTCCCCTCCTAAATTAGAGAGGGTCTTGGGGAAGTTCAATAGGAAACACAGGAAGAAGCAATTGAACAATGCCTGAATATAAGTACATTTCTGATACTGCATGTGTTTTGTCTTTTTAAAAAAGTAGCAAATCGCACATCAACAAGATATCCATCAAAATGAGATATAACAAATAAAAGAACTGTGTGATAAAAGGTAATCACAATTTACAAAGCATCTACTGTGTGGGAGGGTGAAAGAAGGGGATAAAATTTCATTGGAGATGAAGCTTGCAATTTATTTTGCAAGAATTAATATGGAAGAGTCTTAATCAGGTATGAAATAAAGTTAATTAAATAACAAATGATGTTAATAAAATATAAATAATCACCTATTAATTCTTTTTATCTATATTACCTGTGAGAGTTTGCTATAAGCCGATAAACTGATCTACACAAGATACAGGGATCTTTGCTAATTAGTTACTCAAAGACAGTGTTTGAGACTCCATACAACACGTGGACCTCTTCTAGAGTGCTGTGCAGCAAACCATCACTATTGTTAGCCTCTGGGCAAGCCATGCCCTGGCATTGTTGCGCTTTTTTTTTTTTTTTTTTTTTTATGATGTGAGTCATGATCTGCTGTTAAGAATGTCCTGAAAATTCACTTCTGTCTGCTGAAAGCATACTATCTGGGAGCAGCACAGAAAATACATGACCACAGTCACTGCATTTGATCAAGATCTAATCGCACAACAGTAAAGTTTTCTGAAAAGGGATAGCAGGTATTCACAGGACAGCAGCTTACTGCTTTCTGCCGGCAGCATCTCACTAATGTACAGATAGTGTGGCAGTGTGTACCAAAGAGGGTGCTTAACTTGAGGCAAATTGGAAAATGGTTAAAGGCTCTTGATCATCTCAGCCTTTGCTTGGCTTCAAAATGATGTTATTTAGCAATTGCAATCACACAAAGATAGCCCTGTGAGTGGACTTAATATGCTACACGTGGCTACATCAGCCTGCATATTCAACAGCCACCTATCCAGGATGTAGGTTTGGAGTGTGACACAATGTAAGTAATAAATTTAAAAGACAGACTGCCAGTGCTGGGCCTTAACTTTAAAGTTGTTGGGTAAAATCCTATTCTATTGAATTCAGGATATCACCCATTAATTGCAGGAATCTTTTGCTTCTGGAGAACTGCGTACCCAAGCAGAGAAGGAGGAGAAATTGAGAGTGGTGGGTGTCTTGCAGTAAATTGTCCATCCCCAGATTATCAGGGTGCTCTTTCCATTTTGTTCTAAATTTCCCTCCTCCGTGCAGCTTCCTGCTGAGTTCCTCTAACAACATCAGTCATGGTAGCTTTTCTGTAAACAATTGTGCTTTTGTATTTCAATACACTGTTTCATGTTGAAGTATGCAAAAGCTAAAGGAACATATGAAAGAATTATGCAAGACTGTGAGGACAGAGGGGAACTTCCCTCTGAAACTCTGTGCGTGGTGAGAATCTCTGAGGCACAGCAGGTATATTGCAACTAGAGTTAGGTCATAAGTTTTTCTCAACAGTTCTATAGTTAGACTGACAGTTACCATGTGAAAAAGTTTAGGCCTTATTACTCTTTTGGTTACAGATGGTCCTAAATGCAATCTTCTGTCTGTCGTTCTGCCATGACTCTTGCAGATATACAGTCAACATGCAGCTGCACGTGATGTGTGCTGTACTTGGCATTGCTGCACCAGCTAGGCTCTGCATCTGCAGTCTGTCCTACAGCATAATTCAAGTCTGTGATGCTTCCTGCCAAGCCCCTTGGCTCATTCCTCCTGTTTGTGTTTGCTATAAAACTATCTAAGGAACTTCTGTGAGATGAGGTTCATGGTGTGGGTTTTGCTCTCCACCACTCCCACTGCTGGGTGCTCCAGAAGTTCTGATGATCAAATTCCAAGTTTGCTGCAGCACAGAGACTTTATCAAGGGAAAGCATGCTGTATGCAAAACATGTTGAAGGGCCCTCTTATGAAATGAGGTTTGACTTTCTGTGATATCAAAAAGAACATTAAACCAGAATTTAATATATCCTGGGAAATCATATTTCACAATCTAATGCCCCGAGCCCTTTTCTTTTTAATATGAGGATCAGAATTCTGAGCTCTCTCATGGTTTGCCTAAACATTTTTATGTTAAATGACAGTAAGTTAATAAGTAAAAAATAGTGGGTGGTTAACTACCGTTTAGCAGGCTAGCACTTTGTCTAAATGGGAAAGCTCTTGGTATAAGATAAGGAGTGAATTTAGAACAGTAGAACTAAATCAGTGTAGCCACATCTTGTAGACATTCCTGTTTTGGTATTAAACTAGATGGGGTTATTTTAGCTTACTATTTATGAAGGCTTTAAAACTAAATAGCGAGTCTTATCCTGGCACAAAGGTCTATGGACTTGTGTTAATGCATCACTAGCTGCTCAGCCATCTTGGTAGGATTGTTTAAAGCTTTTGAGGCAAGGAGAACTACTGGAACTGTTGTCAAGTGACTTTGTGAAAAGAAAAAAGACTGACATGTGCTAAATGTGCGGTGACTCCCCCGATAACACATGATAGTGTGGAACAATGGGCTGGGCAAGCTTGATAAGAATTTCCAGTAGCTTTGCGCTGAGGGAAAGGAGCTGTGATAGCTGTCCAGAAAGTGGTTTGTCATAGCCTGATGAAATGGCAACTTTTGTGAAATGAATGGAGGGCAGTAGACACCTTCAGCCCAAGCCAGTAATGGGCTGCTGAAGCCAGGGTGGAATTATCATGCTGGGACACTGCTGTGAAAGGTACTATGAGCATCACCTGCTCCTCCTGAAAGTGTAATGGTAACGATGGTAGAAGGTAACATCAGGCAAGGGTGATGTTAGTATAAATGCTAATATGACTGTTTCCAAGGGCTTTTTAAAATTCCAGTAAAAGTACTCTTGTAGAAGAGTTTATACTGTAGTTTCCCTCATGCAGAGAGTGTAGCATCTCCTGTGGTAATACAACATGACTCTACTACATCACCTTTTCTCAGTTGTCAGATGATACTGTACAGGTTTGATATTAATTTCATATGCTTTGCCTAGATATAGCCATGCAACCCTGCTTGACCTAGCAGTTAGCTGGAGTTGTCTTCTGAGTGGTTTCTTTAAGAAGAAAAAATGATGGATGGATGAAGAAGTTGGTATGTCTTGGGTTCAGGCAGATTACAAACAATACCTATAAATCCCTGAATATGTTGTGTATCAATCAGCAGGTGAAAGTTTCCTAGCTGACTGTTCTTCTTTCTAGCTAAACCTGTTCTCCAGAGGTCTCTCTTAAAGAGTTTTTTACCAAAGTGTTGTTGCAAATCCTTCTTTGTTGTCTGTTGTTTACTGTGCTTTGCTGGTCTTCTTTCTCATACATACAAGGCTCCAAACAACAGCATGAAACCTCCAGTTTTGCTCTTTGCAAAACATACGTTTGCATTTAAATCCCATGGAGAACTCCTCAGGCTGCCTGGCTTGATTCCTATGTGTGACTTTTTCATAGCGTATTTTGGTGGTGGTTCCTATCATCTAAGCTTCCTATTTCATTAAACAGTTTAACAGCTCGCTCTGTCTGTACCAGGAATGCAATCATCAGCTGCAGTGGGTGTACCAACTGTGTGCTAGCACAGTGTAACTGTTCAAGGTGAAAAGAGGTGAAAAATTCAGAACATGGAAACACTTGAAGGCCTTTCCTAGGTTAGACAGAGAAATGTAATGTCCTTGATTACAGTTAGGGCAATCATAGGGGAGCTAATCTTTTACAGGATCAACATTTTAAAATTTACTGGAGTATTACCAGTACTGTTCATGGGTATGAAAAATGAAGGATCATTTAGGAAACTCTCAAATTCTCTGCACTGCATTGTGGGATGGAATTAACAGGTCCGGTGCATCTCCGTATCTGCTTATGGGAGAAATTTCACCAGCTCAGTGGGACTCTGCACAGAAAGAGAAACCTCAATCTGCTATTGCATATGTATAGCTTAATTATAGAAAGACTGTGATATCGGAGCACTGCAAGGATGAATGCCCATGCCATGGCGCTATGTCTTGGCTGACTCTGCAACTTACATCAACAGAATAATAAAAAAAAAAGCATTATAAAAAGCAAACTAAAACATTTTCCATATTTTTTTTTCTCTTCAAACCGCCTCAAGAAGGTCTAAATTATATGAAGTTGGCAGGTTCAAGTGTGACTCAACTCATTGTTTTCATTCTCTCCTTTTGGCAGCCTTCAGTAATTCCAGATGTTATTTCTCTAACCACATGGAAAAATTCTTATTAAAAAAGGAGGGTGGGGGCTGGAGGGGAGAGAAAGAAACTGTTTTCCTGCATTTGGTACGTTTTTAAAGCAATGATGATATTGCGTAGACAGTGCTCATGTGCAGCAGGCGCTAAGGCTAGCTGGAGGCATGCCCAGGAGGAGACAGCCCCAAGATAAAAGGCCCTGTGTTACAGGGGAGAAATGAGAAGAAAACCAAAAGCAGCTAGTTAGTTCAATAAAATGGTGCTCTGTCATTCTAGGACTCATTTGTTGGGAACTATAAGGGTAGGACAAATGGGGAATTTACCCTGAACCCACTATATTGACGAAGCTTGGAGAACTATAGTATCATGTCAAAGAGAGAATGAGAGGGGGTTTTTTGCACTGTGATCATGGGGGAATATATAGTTAATTCATAAATAATGCTTTGCTCTGAACGGAAAAAGGATTTATGTCTGTTTGGACAGTATGCTTTCGGAGCACATGAATCCACTTTGCTTGGCTCACCTGGCATTGCTCAGCTTAGGGAGAAATGGAGAGAGCGCTTTCTAATTAAATATAGGATATAGGCTCGTGTGTGTTGTGGTAATGTTGCACTGCAAGGAGAGTCTAGCCTCTCCTCCTTCATTTTTGAAGTCTTCTTCAGGATCCAGGAATTCCAGACCCTAAACCACCCCTGTCCTAGAGGAGCTAGCTTTCTGCAGCTCCTAGCCCAAGGTGAAAATAAAACGTAGTGGACTGAATCACATAGCGGTAGTGTCTCTTGACAATACGGGATAATCCTCGGCTGAGCAAAAGTGAGCTCCCATGCTCACGTCCGCCCAGGAGAGAGCCCTCCCGATGTGTTTACAGCCCCCCCCTCTGGAGCCAAACTGCACCTTATATCATCATTGGTGGCTCTCCTTTCCAACCCCACAGGATGCTTGAGAGCATAAGCATATAAGCTTAGGACCCTTCAAGTTTAGTAAAATAATTAATATTGCATAGAAGATCACACGCTCTCTCTGAGCTATCATGCAGAGCACCAAATCTTATTAATAAAAGCTGGATCGGTGAATACAAATATAGCAGCAGGCTTGTAACAAAGTACACAAGAGGAAAAAGCAATGTGCTTTTTAGAACTGTGAGTTTTTCCTCTTAAATGCAACTTTTACATAAAAGGACCTCATTGACACCTCCTTATAAGACCAAGTTTTGGAGTTTTCTCACTCTTAAGGAAAAAAGAAACTCTTTCATTGTGAAAAGAAAGGCCAGACTGAATCTAATTGATTGGCTTGCCATGGTTTACTTCTTTTGCTGATGCTGCAGGGTTTTTTTGTCGTTTGTTCCCCCCCTCCCTCCCCACAGCGCACAAGATGCAGCAAAATGGCGTGGTGCTAGCAAAAAAAAGAAGAGTTTTCTGTCTGTAGGTGGTTCAGTACTGAGAGCCCAGAGAGGGGAAAAAAAAAAAAAAAGGCTCTGTTATGTCGTTTGTTGGTAAAAGTGAGAACTGTTACTGGAAAATATTTTGTTTTGAGATTAGTTGGTGGTAAGCCATGACTAATGCTCATTGTGCCAATATGTGCTTGCATTTGGGTTACCAGGTCCCCCTCGTGTCCCCATTGCTTGTTTTATATAGCTGATGGAGCTTGCTAAATCTTGTACTGTAAGGTCTTTGGTGCAGGGACTACTTCTTCATGGTTCTTTGCACATTGTTTAATGCAGTGGGGGCTCTGGTTTAGGTCTAAAGACTCTGGGCATTATGATAGCAAAAATAGTAAGTTCAGTGGTGGCTCTTGGTTGCACTGACCTTTGCAGCATCTGGGTCACTTCAGTTTTGGGACTCTGGGGACCCATAGCTGATGTTGGGTTTCATTCAGGGAGTGGAAGCCAAGTCTCCAGCCATGTTCATTGTGAAGTTTTCAAAATGGAAAACAATTGTTGATTCAAGTCCAAGACATTTTCTGGCTCTGGTAATATTGTGTTCAGCATGAGCACAATTAAATACATTCAGCACTGGTTTTAGGGGCTTAGTGGGATGTATTGTGTTAGAAGCAAGACAAAACAATGTATTTATTACTGGGTTTTGTTTTATTTTAGGCATTTACTTACTTGGGATTCTCTGATTTTGTGGATAACCCTGAGGATCTTCTTGCAAAGCTAGCACTGATTGCTTTACTTTTCAGTAAAAATAAAAATAAGAAAAGGTATGTGTAGCCTTCTTTCTTCTTTCTCTCCTTCAGGTATTCCAGAAAGAACTTGCCCTACTAAGTTCCATCTGGCAAATTAACAAAAGTCTCTGTCCCCGTGTGATTGTTGATAAGACACTATGCTGGGAAACAGTATATTGATGCAAGTGCTAACAGCTAAGTAGTGCTTGGTCTAGCAACTGACTCTTGGTGACCTACACTGGATGACATTCAGACAGGACTGCTACAATCAGCAGCAGCTGCAAAGTTATAACAGCATGTATTTTCCAGAGCATATAAAAGCCTGCCGGAAAGATTCACCCAAAGTGAAAGGAAACATGCTTGGCAACATTGCCTTTCTCTTGGGTTGTTTCCTTCTGTGAATTGTAGGGAGACGACACAAGAGGTATGTTGCTTGAGAGGAAAATCTAAAGAAGCAAGTGTCCATATGGAAAGGACTGATTTTGTTCTGTTCCCGAGGCATGTTTTAAAGAGGTGTTTGTATATCTTGGTGACATCAGTTAAAATAAACCATTAAACATTCTGGATTTTCAAACTTCTGTTGCATGAGACAAGGTAGGGAGGACACTGAGGAAGTCAAACGTGTCTACCAAAATATTGGACCAACCAGCCAGGCTGATTGCTGAAAGTAAATTTTTCCTACAGATTCAAATACCTGCAATCTTTAAAAATCTCTATTGATATCTTATACCATAAGGTGTTAGAAAAAGGTCCAAGCTTTACTGAGTTCCCACCATTTTATAAAATCCTTCCTAGGGGGAAGTTTAAGAAAAAAAGACTCCCACTGTCTGGCTGACTTCTGTTAAAGCGTAAGTGTTTGGTGTCTTCTGATTCATCTTGGTTCTCTGTACTTGGTGTGCAGATAGCTGTTGGCTTCAATCGCAATCCAGAAGAATCACGTGAGTAACGAGTGATGCTTTTCTCAAGTATCTGGCCATAATTTTTCTACTTCTTTTCCAAGTATTAGAAAAGTCTGATATCTTTTGTGTAAAAAGCAGCTGTAGGCAGCAGACCTCAACTAGACAAATGTTTGACTGGATATTTTGTAATTTGCAGGATATGGCAAGATTTTTTGTGTCTTTTGTTCATAGTATAGTGACAAAGAGAATGCTAACATGTCACTCATGAAGTAAGGGTAAATAGGGAATGTGCTATCTTTAGACTGTGGTTAGACTTGTTATAAAAATCAATATTGTTTTACTTAAAACCATGAAGTTTCCTCCTAACTGCTGTCTAAGATTTTTGTTAAGAAGGTAGAGCTGAGCATGATTGGTTTTTCACTTAAGGGGAAGTTGCAATAATTTATAGGTGAAGAGGTAGAGGTTCAATAGTGCCAAGCATTAAATTGGGTAGCATGGAGTCTGAATGTCCCTGAGGCCTGTGGCAAATGAATCCATCCAATGGGACAGGACTCTATTTTGATTCTTCATGTAGCTCTCATTTCTTGCGTATGTGGAATGCTGATCCCCATCACAAAGTGGAAGAATCATAAGGAAGATGGAGTCATTGAGAGTAAATGCTAAGTATATTTTTGCAAGGGATAAGGCAGAATGTAGTCAGTTTATACACAAATGCTATAGGGAGAGAACTGGCCCTTTGAGAGCCTCTTAAAGATATAATTGCAACTCATTACTGAGATGCAGAAACCAGTGTTATCAAATATTAATGGGTATGGAGGATAAATGGAGACTTAAAAATTACTTTAATTTCTGCATTCAAGGGGTACCTGACAGAAGTAAGATTGTCTGACAGCAGTGTGACTATTTCTGGCAATAGTTAGTTTTGAAATATTTGACATTTTCAGTAGTTTTCAGTTGACTCAGGCAGAGAAGCCTTAATTATGAAAGTGTGTAACAGTAGTACGGGAAGCTCCGTGCAGCAGTGAAAAACACTCCAGCTTACAGTGAATATAAAGCAGAAGATTTTTAAAAGAGCAACTCTTGGAAGTACCCATGACCGCTGTAAGGATAAAGTGTTACTTTTGTCATCCTGGACAGCAGATGAGGCTGGTCAGAGGCAAGACTGTGACTTGAGAGAGAGAATGAGAGGGATAGTGTGTGAAATGGAAGATGCAGAATAATTCTCACTGGTCAGACTCTGTGGGGCTAACAGAGGTGTTGAGCAGGGGCTGAATGCTGAGACTTGCAACCTTTAGTGTGTCCAGTGTCCGTCATTGTAGTTGTATCTGCTGCAGCAGAGACAGGAGGCATATGAAGAATGGTGGAAAGCCAAGCTCTACTAGGAACTCTTTGCCCAATAGCGAATGTAATAATGACAATATAAGAACAGCTTCTGTTGTCCTGTCTCTGATGGTGGTCAGTAATGAGCTGAAAGACCAGGACAGAATTAGTGATGCTTTTTTAGTGTATTCTCCCAGTTATCAATACCGTGTTGCGTTCTGGAGCCAGAGGTGGTATCATCGAAGTTAGTAGCCCTTGATGGATCTCTCTGACATGGCTTTCTGCAGTTGCTTTTGGACCTGTTTCAACCCTGACATCTGTAGTATCCTGTGGCAACATGCTCTGCAGATGAATAATAGCTAGCGCAAGAAACAGTCCTTTTTCTCTTTGTTTCAGAGTAACCTTCTGATAGTTTCATTTAGTGTGCCCTTACCTTTGCATTATTTCTTTCTGTGATTAAAAACCAGTTTGTTTTCAGATGCGTAAATACCCTAGTATTTTAAAATGTTTCTCAAACAGCACTTTTATGTCAGTGATGTTCATCTATTGTGTTGGTTGCCTGGTGGGATGTAGTAAGGTTGATTGGACTTGCTGGTGACACCTGCACATCCTCATGAGAGAAAAGTTAGTAGGCTCTTCAGATCTATCTTCAGGCTGACCACTTAGGTATTGTTATGTATAGTTGGGAGAGGCAGATGTGTACTTCTAAGAGGCTGTGGTATGACTCAGTTGTTGTACTGTGCATTTAGGATCATAAGCCAAATAAAACCAACATCTCTTAGAAAACTTGGATCTGAGTAATTAGTGAGCAACGCAGTTTATCTAAAATCTGCAACTGTGCCTAATCTGAGTATTTGTAAGAGGAAACAACTCAACCTGATGAAGAATTTTCAAGATCAGACCCATAGTGCTGGTGCTATTAGTAGATGATTTAATCTGTGTACGAGACTTTCATTTCTAGAGAACTACGCTGGAATAACTGCTTCAGTGATCTCTGCCTGCCTAATACTGTTGCTTTTTATAACAGACAATGTAGGTCTTCCTGTTTACTTTCCCAACAAACAAGTCAGTCAAGTAACCTTTTAGGAAATACTGCAGGTCACTTCTGAAGCTTGCCTCACTGCATGGAAACCTTTATTGCCGGGATGAATGATATTCTTAGATATTCATGGGAAATAAACAGCAATAATCCTGACAGGAGGTGTTGGCAGAATGAAGTGTGAACAGGAAGTGATTAAAGATAAAAGGCAATCTCGGGAGTTACCTGTAGTTTGGTGTGTGATTATAGGTGTGGCTGGAACAGGTCACAACACAACGTAGCACCTGCTGACAACAAGCAAATTGGGATCCAAACTTCTCTGCTCTCCCAGGCTGGACCCCTGTTATATAACTGTGCTGATCACACCAAATAAAATACTTGGTGCTTAACGCACACTTTTTTTAGCTTTGACTGTGCTTCAGTGTAGGTGGAACCATATGCTGTGTGTCTTATAAGTGAAGCTGTAGTGACTCCTAGATTAAACTTCCAAGATATTTAGCATGAAAACATTTACCTTCATTTTCGTTGTAATTATGCAGTGATTGAGGCAGGAGCCTAGGCAAAAACAGTGTGTGATCGTGTAATAAGGACTGCCTCCTAATGACAAGGGAGGCGAATGATGGATGCACCATCCACCTTCATTAGTGTATTTCCCAACCACTGTGAGTTTTGTGGGTTGCTTTTTTTTTTTCTTTTTTTTTCTTTTCCTTCTAGTCCCATTGGCCACCTTTTTTACAGATTTAGTGTAAGACTTAAATAATACCGGTACATCCTCTCTAAAACAGAAGGTCATGCATATGATCTATGAGATTATCAAAGCATAATTGGCTGGTATCAATTTTTGTTGATTTTAATTTGCCATGGGTTCTCCCTTATGAATAATGGATATGTGTGACAAATGTAGGCCATGTCTTTTGTGCATGTTATCCTCCATTTCTATACATACGAAGCCTGAATCCTTGGGCTTTAGGAAAAGAGGCAGAAAAGATGAAATCATGAGTAATACCTAGTGTTTTAATGGCACTTTCTGAAGTTACTCTTCCAGGAATTGATACCCTTCCACACCAGACATGTAGCTTGTCCTCCTCAGCCTTCAATCATCCTGGCCTGTCTTTAGAGAAATCTTCTGAGTCAATGCAGAAGAGAGATGTTTTCCCGTGGGGAGCAGGATGTGCAGGTCTTTCATGGGACATGCTGTTCCTGCAAACAGGCAGCCTTTGTTTGAGACCTGTCATTTACATTTCTAATGATGTGGTCAAGAGGTGAGTGGACTACCTAATGTAATTAAAACATGCATATTATAGCAGGTGAGTTCACAGATATGAGTCTGAGCACCCCTAAAACAGTGGTGGTGAGAGGGGGAGATGGAGGGAGGAGATCTTAGTGCTCCATAGCAAAACCCCTCCATGCTCAAGTCTGTCTCTGGTCCCTGCTCTCTCTCAGATGGAGAGTGATTACCATTCTCCCTTATTTATTCCTACCCTTTTCTTTTCCCCTTGTGATTCCTGTGTGCTGGTGTTTGCCTTTGTTGCCAGGTCTCAGCTTGCTCAGGCTTTTCAATTGTTTGCCTAGGTTTAATCTTCTTTGAAAGGTCAGTGTTCTGCTAAAGAAGGATGAGCGCTGTGTCAAGCAGTGCAGTTTTGGTCATTCTGCAGCTCTGCAGTCTGGGAAGTTCACCGTGTGGTGGTACTACTCATTAGCTAGAGCAACCAAATTTACCAGG